CTACAACACTAACGAGCTCGTCGAGAAGGGCTGGAGGATCATGACAACCGACCCGGAGTTCTCCAAGGTCGCGACCGTGTGTGACCACTCACACGGTCACCGAGTCATCAGCGGGAAGCTGCACACTGCAGCCACAGCCCACTACCCGCAGGCGATGTGCAAGGCAATCGCCCGGCTATGGCATGCTCAACTCCGGACCCCGATCGACCTCAACATGGCCCTGGAGAACCCTGCTGTCCTCGACCTCGAGAATGCCTACCTGATGGAGCGGGGCACCGGGAGCATCTACGTCGCTGAGCCCACGGATCTCGAAAGGGAACAGGTTCGGGCGATGTTGAGCAGGATCCACAAGGCTGCAGGGCATCCAGGGAACGAGCACTTGGCTTACTGGTGCAAGAAGCGACAGTGTCCACGCTGGATCATCGAAGAAGCGATCAACCTTCGCTGCGAGGCATGCGACCTAGTCAAGCACGGCGTTACCCACAAGGTCAAGGCGAGCCTCGACATCCCCATGGCACCTTGGCAGGCAGCCGTCATGGACGTTTCCGACCTGACGTTCCCGGACTTGAATGTGAAGGCCAGGTTTCTCCTCATCGCAGAGGTCGCCACCGGCCTGATGTGCGGGGACATCACTGCGAATATCGGCCTCAAAGACAAGGGCACAGATTCGTCAGCTACGCTGTTCACGACGTTTGCCAGAGCCTACCTTCAACGCTATCCCAAGCCAAGGTGGGTTTTCGTCGATCCCCAGACCTCTTTTGTGGGCGGCGAGTTTAAAGACAACTGCCAGTTGGCCGGCATCGGCGTCTCAGCGAAACCAGGAGGAGCACATTGGATGGCTGGCGACATCGAGCGCCGCATCTCGACCGTCAAGCAGGTAATGAGGAAGCTTCGCCTACAATGCCCCAAGCTGAGTCCCGAGACCGCGTTTTACATCTCGATTGCGGCGGCCAACAACATGGACAACATCAAGGGCTACACGCCGATGCAGTGGGCATTCGGGTTCTCTCCCACCGAGGACCCTATCTTGGCGCATAACGCAGCTACTGGCAAGTTGAAGTCCGACTTCTTCGAGATCGAGCGGGTACGAGCGGATGCAGAGGCGACCTACCTGAAGGAGAAGGCGTCCAGGAAGGTCTCAGAGCTGAGGAACTCAGCCCCACGACCTCGACATGAATATAAACGAGGCGACTGGGTCTGTGTCTGGCGGTCGTGCGCTGCGACAGGGAAGCGAAAGCTTTCCGGACAGGATTTCTCCACGGACGGCTTGTTCATCGGACCGGGCCGGGTCTTGTTCTCCGAGCCAGCGGTCCAGACCGGCAACAAGGACGGCGTGATCTGGGTCATCATGGGCAACCGATGCTGGCGCTGCGCAGCTGAGCAACTGCGGCCAGCCACGCAGTCGGAGATCGTCCAGATCAACCTGAAGAAGGACGACATCCTCAACAGTCCGCTCGAGGATGTCTGGAGGCACCTCCAGGATTTTGACGACATTGCCGGGGAGCCCTACCCAACGGCAGATGGCATGAGGATGCTACCACGTCAACCTCTTGAAGGCATGCCGAGGGTGATCGAGAATCCCGATGTGGCCGTGGAACCCCACGACATCACGGAGGCAGATGACGACCAGGAGGTAGACGAGGACAACTCAGCACCAGAGCCACCACAGATTAAGCGAACAAGATTGAGAGGCAAGACGCCGACTGTGTCGTGGCCACCTGTACCGACTGAAGCTTTCCAACCGCGTTTTGGGAGATCATCTTCATCAAGAGCCTCAGCTGAAGTTGCTCACGCTGCCCTCTTCAAGGCGGCGAGCGACCATGTGGAAGCCAGCGAGATCGGCATTATCAACTTCGTGCAGGATCCGAATAACGAGGCCGAGATGGACCTGATGAAGATCGAGATCGAGGCGGACCTTGAGGAGTTCTGCTTCGATGCGAGCGCGTACCTGGAGAAGCAGCTGAACCGCGTGGCCAACAACACGGTCAAGAAGGGCGTGGAGGTTTCGTTTGGCCGCCTGAGCCCCGAGGAGAAGCCACTGTTCCAAGAGGCAATGGCACGGGAGCTGGCGGAACATCTGGAAGTACCGACAGTCCGGGCTGCATCTGCTTACGCTGACTACAATCATGGAAAAGATATTCCAGCGGACAAGCTGATCAAGATGAGGTGGCTACTGACCTGGAAGCCTCTGACGCCACCTGAACCACCGGACAAGTCGGACCCACACCCCGTGAGCACGCCGGACGGGAAGTTCAAGGCGAAGGCCCGTATCATTCTGTTGGGCTTCTCACATCCGGACCTTGTCAGTCGCGACAAGTTCGGAGATCGGGTGCTTCCTACGGCGTCACCAACCATTTCAAGAAAAGGGAAGCTGGCACTCCTCCAGATGGCTGCTTTCCACGGCTGGACCTTCGAGCTAGCCGACGCGAAGTCCGCCTTCCTGCAGGCCGGGCACACCGAGGAGTGGAGGAAACTCTGCACGAAGGGCGTGAAGGAGCTTCGGCAGGCCTTGCAGATCAATGAGGAGGAGTCCATGCGAGTCCTGGCAGCGATCTACGGGATCACGAATGCGCAGTGGGTTTTCTGGAAGTATGTGGACCACAAGATCCACGAAGCAGGAGGCAAGAGCGTCCTCATCGAGCCGTGCATCTGGATCATTCAGGACCAGGACGGCACCGCGCGCGGGGTCATCGGCTCGCACGTGGACGACTTTGGCATCGCAGGGGACAGCGACAACAAATTCTACCTCGACATGAAGAACATGCTGAAGGAGATGCTGCGGTGGTCTCCATGGCGAAGCACGCCGTGCATGTGGGCAGGCATGTGGATCACCCATGAGCCGTCGGGCAAGATCCATGCCAGCCAGGAGGAGTTCTGTCACCAGCTCCTCGAGATCAGGGTTGAATCCGGCAAGTATCTCTCGAAGGATGACAAGCTCAAACCGGAGGACGTCACCCAGTTCAGGGCGGGCCTGATGAAATGCCAGTGGAGAGCGACACAGACAGCACCACAGTTCTCATGTCGGGTGTCACTGTTGGCTCAGCGGGTGAACGAGGCGACGTTCGGGGACCTGAAGGACACGAACGCCCTCATACGCGATGTGAAGCGGACCGCTCGTGACTCACTGGTGTTCCACAACTTCAATAGCAACTGCGGCGGCAAGCTGAAGTGGGACGACCTAGTGATTGTGACGTGGGTCGACGCAAGCAGGCTACTCCAACGAGGAGGCTACATCGTGGCTTTCACCACGGCCGAGATTCTCAAGCAGAAGGAATGTGCAGTATCTATCGCCGACTGGAGATCGTACAAGCTCAAGCGCACCGGCATCGGCACCAACGGCTGCGAGGGCCAGGCTCTGTACGACGGAGAGAACGCCGCGTACTTGATGCGCATGCTGTGGTCAGTCACGCACGGAGTTCCAGTTACCGCGCACACTCAGGAGGAAGTGGCGCAATCCATGACTTCGGTGCTGGTAATCGACAGTCGGGGAGTTTATGACTCAGTTCACAACAAGGAGAGCTTCGGCATAGGCCTGAGCGACGCGAGGACCGGCGTGGAGGTGTTGCATGTGAAGGCGAACTGCGGGCCCGAGAAGAACCAGCACCTGGTCTGGGTACCCTCGGACCTCAACCTCACCGACGGCCTCACGAAGGACAGTCCCGAGGCAAGGAAGCCTCTGGCTCTGTGGCTAGCACGGCGCACCTGGATCATCAGGTACGACGAGGATTTCATGTCAGCCAGGAAACGACAGCGAGCCAACAAACTCGCTCAGGACAAGCCGCAGCCGCCTACAGACGCTGAAGCCGAGGCCGCCGACGCTTTAGCTTTTCTCGACCTATCTTGAGGGTAGTGTCGGGCTCATTCTCATCATTCCTTTTCCATATTTGTACTGTGCAGGGGGTCTCTTTTGATCCAGTTCGGTCGGAACGGTTGAGAAGGATTTTAGGCTCATGTCGAGCCGAGGCGACTCGAGCGAAGTTTTGAGTCAACCTCTCCTTCCTCTCTCTCTCTTGCCGCCGCCTCCGCGGCTGTATGGGATCGAGGAGGGGGCCCCCTCTTTTGTGCAGAGAGCGCGGCAGACACGCTCGCCAGCACGGGCTGGCGCCATCATGCTCGACGGACGAGCGCAGCACAGCAGAATACAGCGTCGACGTTAATCACGACAATGATGATGATGATGATTGTTATTATTATTTTTATTACTATTATGTGTTGGAGGACGGTGTGTATGGATGTATTGGGCCTCGGGGGGGCCGAACCACCGCATCCCGAGGTCCAGCACGATCGGCTCCCTGGGAGGTGGAATTCTTATTGGTAGATGCCAACAACAGGAGGGGGGGAGGGAGGGAGGGAGGGAGGGAGGGAGGGAGGGAGGGAAGGAGGGAGGGAGGGAGGGAGTGAAGGAGGAGGAGGAGGAGGAGGAGGAGGGGGAGGAGGAGGCTCATGCTGAGGTTTACCCAGAGTGGGGTGGGAGCGCGGGCTCGATGCTTCGATCACGGGGGGCGGGGCCTCGGTGTCCCGATGCACTAGACACATACGATCAAAAGAGTCCTGCTATACGACATCTTCTTGGGGCACATCCTTCGTCGATCTTTGAGGGACCTAAGGTGCCCCAGAGATGCTGCGGGTCCCTGGGGTCCCTGGAGGATCATCACTTTCCACGGGCTACCTGCTGGCAGGTCGACTTCTTATTGGATGTGTCTGCTGCACCTCGATCTAACCATGTACCTCGGAGGTCTAGGTTTGCCCCCCCCCCCCCCCCCTGTGAGGGGAAACGATGAGGGGGGACTGGCATGGGGGGGATGCATCGACGTCGAATCGTCGATACATTGTCGAAAGACCGACGATAGACCCCCGATGGCGCAACCGCACTTCCTGGGCGGGTTGGGGCCACCGGGCCCCCTATCGGCGATCAATGGGCGATTTGGGGGTCGAGGCGCCCACCCCTGGCCATGCAGCCCCCCATCGTTGCCCCTGACCCTGGCTGTAACCAGTGGCGCCTTCCCAGCGGCATCCTGGCGCCGGATCTCTCGCCGCTTCTTCGTGTCCTCCGGGGAGGAGAGGGAGGAAGAGGAGGAGGAGGAGGAGGAGGAGGAGGAGGAGGAGGAGGAGGAGGAGGAGGAGGTGGAGGAGGGCTCGCGGCCCAGGAGGCTCCAGAGGCCAGGGGGGCGGAAAATGTTGCGGGGTTCCAGGTCGTCCAGGCCGGAGCCGGGGGGATGGAAGGCCTGTCTGGCTAGCCCTGCGGGGCTCGCGCGCTCGCGCGGCCCGTCCGCACAACGCCGAGGGGCACCTTTCGGGCCCGTCCGGCTATTTTCGGGGAAGGTCAACGTATCCGACCAACCTCCTGTCTCTCAGTGACGAACGAGCAACACACACCCATATCCATAAGGGGGTCGTTGGGAGGAGGACTGGCCATGGGTATGGGTGCGGGTTGTCGGACCCTGGGGAACGCTCCCGTTCGAGCGGGGGACCCCCATCCGACAACACGCACCCATAGCCCTCTCCGACCCCTCTATGGGTATGGGTGTGCGTTGTTGGTTCGTCATCTCAGGGGAGGAGGCCCGTCCAGAGGCCAGGGATGAGAAGATTACGCGGGAGCATGTGGCTGGGGCTTTAAAAGGGCAGAGCCGAGCTCGAGGCTTGGCTATCCCCGCTGGCGGAAGGAGGCCAACTGAGACCACGGCGGCTCTCCCGCCCCGCCACGGCGGTTTGCTCGCCTCCGTGTCCGTCCTGACCCGTTTTCGGGAGCGGCCAAGAGGGGGGTGTCCAAGAGGGGGGGGTGCAAATCATGACCGGAGGCATGTGCGCGGCCCAGCGGGGGGGCCAGGGACGTAATGAAATGAGAAGAGGCGCCATGAAATCTGGGGAGATATCATGGCCCCCGCCATGATATCCACCCCCCCTAGTCATCGCCCCCCTCTTTTCCGCCCCCGACGTTTACTCGAGGCGGATCGTGGCGACGAGAAGCCTCCAGGAGGCCCCCAATTGACAAGCAACGCCAGGGAGGGCCGCCGCTGTCTGGACTGGCCCTCCTCAGAATAGTGCTCTTCTATGGCCTCCTGAGGTTCAGTGGATCAGAGGGGGAGAGGAGCAAGCAGGATGGGAACTCCGCTAATGTCGTGCTGGGTGTACATGCCGGCACGGCCGGGATAGCGAGAAACACGACTGAGCAGCACCACGTGAAGAGCATCAGAAGCAGCTCGACATCCAGGCAGTCCGAGAGAACAAGACTGAGCAGTGCACCCAGACGTGCAAAGCTGCCACCAGAGATCCTGACTGCATCATTGGTGGTAGTCTCCTTCGTCCCCGATCAATGCTTGATGGTCGTAGGTCGTGCAGCCAAAGCCCCACAAGGCGCAATCGAGAAACAACGCCGTGATGGCAACGCTCACACCGTCGGGAATCTGAATGCAGATCTCTGCCTGTCGCTGTCGCGACCCCAGGTTCCATCGAAGCCACACGGTGAACACACGCCACCTTTCCTGGCTGGCACGCCGTCGCCAACCTCCATCACCTCAGTGGGGGGAGGAAAGAGGATGAGGACGACGATGGCGAGGACAAGGGAAGGACTCCGTGAGGATTGAGGGCCCCGAACAGTGCGGTGACAGAGTCTTCCGTGACCTCGGAATCCCCAAAGACCTGACGGTTCGTCGCTGCACGATTCGGGTCCCTGGAGGCCCCAGTCGCCCGAGGCGTCCTCGGTAAAAGACCCGAATCCAAAATCGTGTAGCCAGCCCGCCGAATCCCCACTGACCCACCACACGGTGTGGTAACCGCAACTATTGGGGCCCCCCGAGATGAGGATGACCGAAGAAACGCGCTGGGGGTAGTGGTAGTAGTAGTACTAGTAGTACTAGTAGTACTAGTAGTAGTAGTAGTAGTAGTAGTAGTAGTAGTAGTAGTAGTAGTAGTAGTAGCAGCAGTAGCAGTAGCAGTAGCAGTAGCAGTAGCAGTAGTAGTAGTAGTAGTAGTAGTAGTAGTAGTAGTAGTAGTAGTAGTAGTAGTCGTAGTAGTAGTAGTAGTAGTAGTAGTAGTAGCAGTAGTAGTAGTAGTAGTAGTAGTAGTAGTAGTAGTAGTAGTAGGGGTAGTAGTAGTAGCAGCACAGTATAGTAGTAGTAGCAGCGGTAGCAACAATAGTAGTAGTAGTAGTAGTAGTAGTAGTAGCAGTAGTAGAAACGGTCGAAAAATAGGAGTCGAAGTCGTGATAGTGGTATGAGAGGTCGTCGTCGTAGTAGTAATGGTAGCAGAAGTAGTAGTAGTAGTAGTAGTAGTAGTAGTAGTAGAAGTAGTAGAAGTAGTAGTAGTAGAAGCAGTAGTAGTAGTAGTAGTAGTAGCAGCAGTAGTAGTAGTAGTAGTAGTAGTAGTAGTAGTAGTAGTAGTAGTGGTAGTGGTAGTGGTAGTGGTAGTAGTCGTAGTAGTGGTAGTAGTAGGAGTAGTCGTAGTCGTCGTCGTCGTCGTCGTAGTAGTAGTAAGAGTAGTAGTAGAAGTAGTAGAAGTAGT